ATTATAATTAAAATATATTTCATATAGCAATAGAGATCACTGATTACCAATAAATCCAGCGTTCTTTATTTCAAGACGCGGATCGCCCAACCGGGTGCTCCGTATCAGTATATTGAATTTAATTAAACTTATTTTCTTTCAATAATTGATTTACTTGGCGAGGAATTATTTAAAATAGTATATAAATATTAATAATATAGTTTACACGTTTTTATTTTTTTCTATAAAATATAACATAATATTCAAGTTTAAACACTGTTTTTGGAATTGTATATTTAACCAAAAGTTATTTTAAAATTCAAGGACGTGTTATCAATATTGATATGAGCAATAACTAATATTGATTTATATTCTATATTCGGATCTAACTTTAAAATATATATTTGCTACCTATGTAGTATGTATAATGATGTACCTATTTCAGTGCAAAATCTAATGTGCGGTCATACCTATAGTTAATATATTATTATTGTACAACAACTGTCAAAACTCACATACCTTCAAAAAGTGATTTCCTATACTACAAAAGATAGGTATCAGGTTTTGTTCGGATTAGGATATTACGACTCAAGTCAATAATTATGTAGAAAATATGGTATCGGTACATGCACGTATACGGGGGTTTAATGGTTCAAACCAGCTAAACCGAAATGTTTTCAAACAATATTATTTTTGGACATGCAGTATTATATTATTATTTTACCAATGTAAAATACAATTTTGATTTTTTTTAAATATTATTTTGTATCAACTATTTGAGTCAATTTGACTATATTAAGCGTTCTACACAATACCTACACATTATTATTGTTTACAATTCTTGTATGGTTTATATAACCGTCCATATCGTATCCGCCGGTGTAATGCGTTATTTTATGATTCATTCCGCAGTCATTCGTCGCCTTTATATAGTGCTTGATGGCTTGAATTTTTCTTGGAACATACTCTTGGATACTACTTTTGGATTATACTCTATATAATCGACCAATGAGGTTTTTTATTTAAAATATATATTTTAACGATTTTTAGTCGTTATATAAAGAAAAGAAAAATACTACGACGGACAGGATAGACACAATAAACAAGGGGGGGAGGATGCGAGATGGCGATTGGTGCAGAAATGCAGTGTTGCTGGCCACTGGTCACCTCTGCACGTCCCCCGACCTGTCCCCGCGGGTTGACGAGTGTTCCTGGCGCGTTTGCTCGGACGCTTGACGACCTTGCCCAGCCGGCGAGGCCAGACCGAGACGACCACGGGAGCACCCACGGTTGAAGGCGACGGACGGCCGCTAGTGGGCGATGTCTTGCGGGTACCGACGGTCGACGGCGTGACGACTCGGGCCGACGGACGGCGAAGACCAAGACGCTGAGCGAGCGAAGTGAGATTCTGTGCTGCGGAACCAGTGGGGACGACCGAAGCGGCCGACGTAGGATTACCGAGGGGCGAAAAGGCGAGAGCCAGCGGTCCACAGCGTGATCCTCGACTCTCGGTAATTTTCGCCCTGGCGTCGTCCCTTCGGCCGCCAGACCCTGAAACGGTTAAGTTTCTGCGAGTCCGGCGCCGCTGACGTCCCCGTGTTCCTAGCACGCAAATCTCCGTACCACTGACCCCGTGCCTAGGTCTCCGCCGCTGCCGTCGTACCGAGTCGCCATCGCCGTCGCAACGAGTCGGTGTACCGTCGGGGCGGAATCGTTGCCCGGTACCTCTATACTAGCCGCCGTGCCGTCGCCGTCCACCGTCGCTCCGCGTGACCGTAACGCCAGCTAACCCGTCGTGCCGCGGGTGCAGGTCGGAGAACGTGCGCGGGTGACTTACCGCCGCGCACCGTCCGTGCTCTTTCCCGCATCCTCCCCTCCATTCCGTCGCCGTCTTCCTGTCCGCCGTCTTCGCCCAGGGGGGGCGAGCTTCGGACGTCTCCTTATCGGCGGCAGAAGCAGCAAAGGCGTTTATCGTTCTGGTCGGCCCGCAGCATTAGAATTTCGAGCGCGTTAACAATAATAATATAATAACAATTTTATTTTATTTGCAAACAATTCCCAACACATTTTTAATTATATAAATACAGTTGTAAGTTTGCTGACCTCCTATAAGCAAAAGCTTGGGTTGAAGGTGAGAGGTTCTCAAATTAGACATCAAATTTAAATTCAAATAATATCAGTAAAGTACAATATAAGATTTACTTAATACAAAATAGAGCGTTCATTTTTCCAAAGACCACTATTATTATTGATATGTATTATATATTTTAGATTTTACAGTTACAGTATGAACAATTAAGAGAAATCTTGTTATACATTTTCTGATTTTCAATGCTTAGCCATACAATTTTAATATTACATAAATTTTTAACTACAAAATTAGTTAATTTTCGTGACTGATGAATTTTATTGGCATTTTCACTGCAAATGCTTATAAGTTATAAGTTAATCATCCCCATCACATTTACTTATTGTAGTATATATAATTATAGATTGTAAATAAAATTTTTGTTCAATAAAAAAAAAAAGTTATAAACAAAAATCAGGCCTATGGATGTTTAATATTTTCAAACTACTATGTACTATAAAAACTTTTGAGGACCTTGATTTAAATTTTCAAATGTAAGAATTAATAGAAAACATTTTATCAATATTTATAGAAAAAAAACTATAAATAACTCAGTCAAAATATTTTGAAAATAATACAGTGTATTGAAAATGTGAATATAATCATTGGGTGCAAATTTCATCTCCGGTTATTCGTTTTTGAATTGCAAGAAAATTATTTCATGAGGAATCATTAGTTTACGGGTGAATATCCAATGTCGAAATGATTAACGTTTTGAACTTCAAACACTCATTAAGAATTATTGCAAGACTTTGCAGTAAACTTTTTTTTTGTAAAAGGTAGGAAAACTTGAGGAATCGCTTGAATTACATAATTAATTTTTATAAATAAATAAGTTGGCATTTTTCCCCCCTAGATTAGACGAATACATGGTAATACTTAGTGTATTATACTATTATGTGTTTAAGCGGTTAGCAGATTACGTGTCGCATTGCAGACACTGGAACTGAATAAACGTTTGTCTATTGTCTATATAATAGTATAATGAACAACGAATTTAAATTCCATACGGCCATGCCCATTCCCGGTCACCACAACACCAATAAAATTATAAATTATACCACGACTCCTACGATCTACGCTGTTTCCCTACCAGTAACCCACCATAAATATCGTGACTTTGTGTGTGCGTCACCATGGCCAACAATTTAGCCATGTACGTCACATACCGACGAGTGACGAGTATCATACGATTGTATTGTGATTTCGTCGTTGTTGCAAACTAGCCGGAAGAGAAATGACGCACCGGTTTGTGTGTGCGTGTGACCATCACCCCCACCACTATTCGACCACAAAGGCATATCGTGTGGCTATATAGTACAATCACAGATTTAATCTGTGGTATAATATAACATTATGTAGTATGTACCTATTATAGTAACACCACAATAATATTATAGTAGTTGTTATAGTTTTCTGAACAGCAGCAGCTATCTGCTAACAAATCCTTCGCATACTGTAGCGATTAGTGATAAAATATCACAACCAATCGTTTCCATACTATACCAGCTACACTTTTTTTTATGGAAATTAATTGACGTCAGGATTTCAATTGACCAAAGGTCATATTATGACAACTACGAAACACATAATATAAAATAATATATAATTCGCACGTCATAAATACTCATACCAATAAATAATAATTGATAATGATGAGATGATAATTATTAATTATTATCATTTGAATAAATGTATAAAGTCATTGATTATACATTAAATAATCCTCATAATCTCATTAGACATTAATCACTTATCTATAAGCGATGATAATTAAAGTTCATCAATTTGGGTAAATCGATACAAACAATAAAACTCAAAAGCCAGTTAAAAATAAATATTTTATTTAACCAATGTGACATCAAGATGATCCATAACATCTAGAACATTATTATATAAAGTAATTCTAGACTCGTCTATTTTATTAAGTTAATTGAACAACCATTTGAAACTTTAAACATTGCACCTGCAGTTTACAACAATTATTAAAGAGGTTGACAATATATATTATAATATAGGTATAAGTCTTTTTATCTAAACATATCATTTTGATTGTATAAATAATTATCATTATCTGCATGTCATATTATTCTTCATCATTTCAAAGCAGAGAAGAGTTCAACATCCATAAGCAATTGAAAGTACAATTTTGACTATACAATTATTTTGTACTTTTGTAAGTCCAAAGACATAAAAAAGGTCTTGAGGCATTTGAGTTGTTGTTCACTTAACATTGTATTAAAATTAATTGGTCTACAAATCAGTAATTATAAAAAAATAGAAATACAATTAAGCGTAAAAAAAGTTAGTTTAAAAAAATATCGGTTAGGTCTACTTTTAAAATTATTTTCGGCAGACAACAATTAACCTATTTCCGTAAATGGATACAATTTTTAATTTTTGGTTTATTAGCCTACCTACACATAATGTGGTAAAATATTATTTTCATATTATGGCTGGATTTAATTTTAAACGTTAATAATAATTAATATGTATCTTAATAATATTATTAATCATCAAATAAGTAACTGGTGTTACAAGTGAATATTATGTTCAAGAAAAAATATATTATATTAATTAACATAAAATGATACATAAAGAGGATTGACAAAAGAACGAAAAAAAATAAAAATAAATTGGGTCGTTATTATAATAATCAAAAACAACCACAATTAATTATGGCGTATAAAAAACCTATTTATTTATTATTCAATGAATGCACATATTTTCTTGTAAAATATAAAATAAATTATTTATATATATATTTATAGATTAGTAAAAACAAAATAATTATTATTTCATTATTGTATCCATGCTAAATCATGATTTAAATTGTTTTATCTTAAATATTTTTTATGACATAATTGTCGCACCTGTTTATTTATCCGCAGCCTTACAATATAACACATTTCCTCTTCTTAACTGGTTCAGGAGGCTCTAAAGCTGCAAGAATAGCTTCATCAAATACATTTTTTAGTCCTTTCTGTAAATAATAGAAGATAAGTATTAAAGCTATTAAAAAAAATCACAATTACATCATATAGGAACGATTACAAAACGATAAATTACAATAATGCATCAGACATTGAAATAGGTATAATGTTTTTTAAATAGTAGTACAAAAGAAATTAAATTTCTGACTTAATTTTCTATCATTAATGACGGAATCCCATACACAAATGTGTCTAGATTTATTCTAATCAAATATTTTCATAGGAATGTAAAAAAAATTGTTATTGATTAAGTGTGCCACGACTAATAGATTCTGAGATTTTTAAGAAACTCCATAAGCATTCTGTCTTTGGCTATGTTGTGTTAGTCGTAAATGATTATTAGATAAGGTTTATTGGTATAGTAAACGTACAGGAAACTATTTAATGCACTCGTATGCACATAGCAAAATCTAATCTATTTTTCTTCCTAAAACGTTGTTTTATTATCCATTCAAATTCAAATGGACTATTCTTATTTCAATAGTATCTATGTATGTAACAATGCTTACTCTAATTTTCATTCCAATACTCCATAGTATTAACGAGGGAACGACAAAAGCAAAACTTTAAAATTATTTTGGTTGATTAAAATTGATATTTTTCAACCACTTTTATTACAGTTCAAAGCCTGAAAGGACAAAAATAAAAACTGTGATATGGTAATTTCCTTATGTGTTATAGAGAAAACAAATACTTTTTCAGAATAATTTAGGATAGGGTCAGTAGAGTAGCCAGGATAATTAAATGGGGGAAGGGGGGGTAAGTAAAAATGAAACCAAGCTTTTTTTTTTACAGTTTTCGCATATAAACGTATATTAATACATTTGTCATGGGAAAAAATGGCAATGGAGAGGGGGGGGGTGTTAAACACCCAAACATTCTGACTACACCACTGGATAGTGTTGTGTACAGTTAAAAATAGAATGAATAGTTTTTTAAATAATAAACAGCTATAAGATATGTTAAACAAATTAATGTTGGAATAATATTATATTTCAAACATATCATAGAAATATACATTAGTTAATATTTAATTATCTTAAAGTTACAGACCACAATTAAATAAGTTTTAACTATATAAAATAAATTTGTCGTAGAAAATTAATTTTTCCAAAATTCAACTAATAAGTATAGTTATTATTCCAATAATATTGAATTTTAATATTCCGGGTTTTTAAAAAATTCCATCTTAAACCTAGATAATTAATGTAATTACCAAATAATATTTTTAAAAAAACATCAAAAGTTACAGTGAAATTTCCCTTAACAGTCAACTTGAAGTATGAAGTTTTTTTTAAAACAGGGACATTTTCACGTTTCTATAGGAAAACCCCTCAACAATTCCAGACACTATAAATAGCACTCTCTTAGGGGAGTTTTATAATAATTGTTCAAATTGTAATATAAATTAATTGGAATGATTTTAAACAAACCAAAGTAGCCGATTATTTGTATTGAATCATATTACATATGGACATTGTATACAACCCACTTTAATATAAATTTGAATAAGTAATATATGTTTTTTTTACCAATCAAAAATAATAATTATTGCTTTTAATAAAAATTGACTTCTAAAACATTTAATTACTTATATACATAATCTGAGCCTTAATTCTCAACTGAACCCCTTCAGAATATCAGTAACAATCTTGGTGACAGGGAGTGTCCATTATTCAGAGGTTTCTATGGTATTTCCTTTTACTATCGATTACATATATTATAGTCAATCTTTTCAAATCAAATTTCAACAAATATCAGAACTCCAATGTACTAACTTGTGTAAGTGCTGAGCATTCAACATATTTTACAGCTTTAAGTTCTTTAGCTAGCTTCTCTCCTTGTTCAGATGATATTGATTTTTGTTTATTTTTGGCTAGTTTCTCTACAGTCGTTGCATCTTCTCTAAGGTCTATTTGTGTGCCAACCAACAGGAATGGTGTTTTTTGACAGTGATGTGTTATCTCTGGAACCCACTGAGAAATACATGTTGGTTATTATCAATAATTAACAACTTAGTTACATTAAGATATTTTTACTTTTTCTTTGACATTTTCAAATGAAGATGGCGAAACCACGGAGAAACAAACAAGAAACACATCAGTTTGTGGATAACTCAAAGGTCTAAGGCGATCATAATCTTCCTGACCTGATATTCATTAAAATAACAGTTTAGAGTAAAATAAATTGAGAAATTACTATTTCAATGTTGAATGATTATTTTACCTGCTGTATCAAATAAACCTAATGTGTATGGCTCTCCGCCAATCATAACGGTCACTGCATAATTGTCAAAAACCTTAAACAAAATTTACTTATTAACGTAAATATATAGTTTTTTTAATTAGTATACTTTTTGTTACATGCACGTATGGTAACATAATTATCTGTATAGGAAATTTAATCATCGTTGGTGGGTGATATCTACCAAATCTATAGCAGAAGATAAACATTGTTTGGGACACATATTTATTTCTATTATGAATACCTATGTTTTATTATTATATAGGAGATTTAAAGAGTATTCATAATACATAATAATCAATTAAAAAAATATATTAACAAAATAGATTAATGTATGAATAAATAATATCAAATCAAACTTAACATATTAAGATAAAAAGTTTAAAGGTTATATAGTCATTGTACATAGTATACATGTTATAACCCTACTAATAGGTAGGTACTTAGTAGTTTCTTTCTTTTAAATGTTCATTAATCAAATAAAAACATTTAACTAACATTTAGTTGTATTAATACTTATGGGAAATAGGAACCTTAAATCGAAATATGATCAATTTGTAATGCACCTACCTAATATAATTTATATTTTTAATTTTTTATATTAATTTTTATTTATGGGGATACATATTAAATGTATACCTACTAACAATTGTTTGTTTTCATATTATTTATGTACATACCATATACTTAATGTATGTATGCATCTTAAACAAAACTATTATGTATTTACCAAAAAAATAATTTGATGGAAAGAAAATAATATTTATAGATTATAATATCTACCCAAATATGAATAATACTGTAGATTGATAGTAAAGTAATGCGCACTTACAGTCGGTACATATTCTGAAGGAAACTTGTTTGTCGTGTAGGATATGAGCAGACAAGTTTTACCAACAGCTCCATCACCAACAACCACGCACTTGATGGTCTGCATGTTGCCGCTATGGAAACACTCCTATGTGTACACTAAACAAAAAAACGAATATAGTTGCAACTTGCAAGACAACGAAACAGGAAGATGTACAGTCGATGACCGATGTGCACACCACAATTACACACATATTGGTCGAGACGATGATATAAAACGCAGCTAAAGTATCATTATTAGTATGGTTAGTAATTTCTCAGAGTAGTTTCAGTTACCTGGTGAGTAAGCAGCACAGAGCACTCGAAAAGTGTTCTCCCTAGTTGTCGCAACTCTCGCAGCACTCGAATGCTGCCCTGCAGCGGTCTTCGAACCGTATACCCGGTGAACTAACAGACACTGACCGACGTCGATGGAAAGAAATGACAGAACGCAATTGTGAACAAGAAACCGAACAGAAAATAAAAATCAAAACCAAAACATACAACAAAATCACAAAATCGTGTGCGAGACGCACAGGTACTACGCTACATGTAATTCGGCTAGGCCGGCGCGTACTGCGGGTGTGGGTGGGGAGGGGACGAAATTAAAAAAAAAAAACACTGCGCACATACAGAAAGACCGCTAAAAAGAAGGAAATAAATTTCGCGTACACTTAAAAGCCAGACGATCTTTTATGTAGTACTTATACTGATGTTATGTGTCGTGTGTGACGGAATAACAAAAAATTTCGGGCGTCAACACAGATACACACACAGTGACAATATGACACTGACACACGCGCACGCACGCAAACAATCCGCACACGGATGGAATTCTCGTGCCACGTTGCCGCACTGTGCGGTTTTGGTTGTGCGCCGCCGGTGGACCGGACGGCACGGAATGAAACGAACGAAGTACGGCTAAACGTATTATAATATATTTATATATAGACATATAGACATATAGTATATACCTACTACATAGTACGAGCACAGTAAGTTGTAGTTGTTGTAGATTAATCTATTCTGTGGTACGAGTACAAACTACAACTACTACAACTAGTACCCGAGTACCGGACAGTTCTCCCAGGCGGCAGGCCCCAGCAAAGCGGCGGTTGACGAAGATGATAAGTAATGATGACTGATAAGGACATACCATAAACACGATTAAAGATTTACTTAAATGTATGTTTTTAATCGTGACCATAAATATTAAATACAATATTATTAAGATGTTTAATGCAGGGTTGCATAATGCATATTAAGCAACTACAGTGCAACATGTTAGACATGAACATCTTTAAATATACTATCGTATAGTTCGTGAGTCGTGTTATACATTATAATACATATTTTATAAGTTTATAACAATCTGTTATAACTTATAGTGAAGCGTTTATATATTATGAGCTTTATATAAGCATTCAATCTCAATTAATGAACACTGAACCATATACTTTATGCATTCAACTCATTCAAGTATTCAACTAATGACTAATGGTCCCTAAAAAATACCATGGGCTATTCTACCTAAGACCTTATCAGAAAAGAATTTTTTACACATTGACATAAAAAATATGATTATATTGATATGAACATATTGAAAAAATTATCTTATTAGTTACTACCAGAAAAAAACCTTGGTTTGAAAATTGATAAAATTTTTATTTTTCATACTTTCTTAAATCTTATTGATAATTTATATTTGATAATTAATAATTTTAAAAATGTATAAGCAGAAGTATAATGGTACTTATACAGAATCCTATATAATATAGTATAAGAATTGGAAAGAACAATGATATAATAAACTTATTCTTGATTTTCTCTCGTTGCAACCATAGACCTCATACTATAGTATAAGTATAGTATAGTACTATAGTTATAGTATAAGGTCTATGGTTGCAACATATTTATTAAACTTATGTTTAAATTAAGATAAAGCTTCTAGAATATGTCCATTATTTCGTATAGACTATAGAAGATAGCTTGTATTTGATATTGTTAATGCGAACACCTATCCACTAATTTTTTTTTTTATGTGATTGAAATGATTTGCATAAAAAATAACCCCGGAAAAATAACCCTATAATAAAAATGATTTGTAAGTATAAATATAATAAAGTACCTATACATTTGTAATACAATGTCAATTATATATAAACAAAAAATACTCACCATAAATGTGGAATACAATACAATTATATTTTGTTAATTTCAGTTTCGGTAATATAATAATTTGGTAATAAGGTATAAAATATTTGTAATACAATGTCAATAATATATAAATAAAAAATACACACCATAAATATGGAATAAAATACAATTATTTGTCAATTTCAGTTTCAATAATATAATAATTTGGTATTAAGGTATAAAATATTTGTAATACAATGTCAATAATATTAATAGGTATTAGTGTATTACTGTATTAGGTATCTATTTTATAATCGGTTTCTTAAATTTAAATAATGTTTTTTTTTAAATGTATCCACTTCAATTTGGTTAGTATTTAACCGTTCGCATAAGGTTTTTAATCTTTTTTGCACGGTTTTCGATTATGTACATTTTGTTTTGGACTCTCCAATGTTTTGCAGAGCAAATTTTGCATGGTCTGCCGACTATTAATTTTTTATTTTGGTTATTAACGTCCAAATCGATGGGTGTTTTTATCCAACTAAATGACAAAATCGATTGTTCCATGATTCGCAAACATTATTGGTTCGGTGGTTATTTTCAAGTGTTGTTCGGGGAACATTCCAAGTTTCCGGAGGAAACATCGCTGGAAAGCGTCGAACGCTTAAACTTAGAGTGTTTTGTTTATTTATTCGACGTATTGTTCCACTCACGTAGGTTTCGTCAAAATATTAAAATAACTCCTCGGCACCAAGAGGAATAATTAATTTTAAATATTCAACACCTTCTTGTAACCTATTTAGTGGTAAAAAAGCCAAGCCATCTATAACATACCAGTATACCACAGAATTCATTAAAATCATAATCTTCTTGGTATTTTCTTTTTAATCCTAATTCTACCAATTTTCTGTGAGTACTCTGGCATAGGTGATAGAAATATCGGTTTATTATTAAATGTTCACCTAATACATTTTTTGCTGCATTTATTACTGCCTTTTCGAAGTCTATTTTTATATTTTGTGGATCTAGAAAAAAATTGTTCTTTTCGCAGACTGATAAAATAGCTTTGAACATTATTTCGTAAATAGATTGATTTTTTTTTTAAGTAAACAGTAAAGAACAGTAATAAATGCACTATATTTTTCAATTCAAATGATGTAGAGTTGCGAGAAATTTTTCGGGGCTAATCTAAAATTTCCATCTGCATACCAGGTATTTGCATATGTTAATAACTTCAAATTGTTTAACGTACTAAAAATTATTACCCTCTCATTATTTTCACTGTGGTTATCAAATAGTTAACATTTTTCATTTTCGATAACACTCCATTCACCTACAATACAATATAATATATTATATCATTATTATTATATTTTATTATATCGGTACCTAATATTATATATTTATATAGACTATATTGTCGTATCTTGTTAATAATTTATTAATCAAGTTAAAAGTTACGCCAATATTATATTATAATGATAATGATATCTTGATTAAATTGATTATTAATCGAGGTATTAACTATCGTCATATAAAATATAATATTTAGGGCTTACGTGTATTTAAAACGGTGTATTTTTTAACGTATACACGGATACTCTTATATGGATTATCTGTAAATATATTAATTACACGGATCTTTATTGAAACAAAGTTTTTTATGTCACGATGCGCATGCGGGGCTAGTCGGGAAAAACGTTCCTGACGAAATAATAGTTTTTATAATAATATATTAAACAGTTATTTTAGCCAAAACATCCAATTTTCATTCCATCATACTGATCGATCTGGTAATACAAAAAAGTGAATACATACCTTTTATTTTTAAATCTTTTAGATTATCAGGTACTTTTGGGAAATTCTGAGTTCTTTGATTTTGGATGGTTTTTTTTATTGATTTTTCCTTAGAAAGTTCTTCAAGTATACTGTCTGAAAGACCCGTTACAGCTTCGGAAAATAACTGCCCATACGTAGATTTTGATACTTTCGCCAGTGTTTTAATTTTTGCGGCATCAATTTCATTTTGGGAGGAAAGATGACTATGTTCATGATCAACTTGTATTAAACGTTTTTTATCCAGGGAAGTTTTTAAAATGCATGGACATTTGTGGCTATTTTTTTGCAGCATTTCCGCCTTATAAAATGTATACACTCTTTGTGTACAACATACATAAACTTTTTATATGCCAACTTTTCTTTGCCCTTCTGGCTCTCGAAAATATCTAAACTATCCATAACTATTCAAAAAGAAATTAAATCAAATGCTTAGCGATATATATAATAATATACGAAAGAACCTGCACTGTAGTACCGAATACAGAGAAATGAACACACACAAAATTGACAAACTTAATAAATTACTGCTTTTATAATATTATCCGATTATCAGAACATTAAAGATAAAGTTATTCGTACCTTTCTTATCCGTTATAATACGTCATTGTACCTAGTTATTGTATATCTGATCGATATGTTATGACAGTCAGACCGTGCTCTGAATTGTTTTTATCGTGGGTATATGCAATAGCCAATAATTTATCATTGAATTGAATCCAAAATTAATATTGTACGTAGGTAATAGCCAATAGGTATGTTATACATTTTGTATTGATTTGAGATTATAATTTGCAAAATCTCATATTATGGCCTATGGGGTTATTTTTTCGGGGTCTAAATTTCCGGGGTTATTTTTTCGCGGTACCGACTAAAATTCAGGGCTTGTATTTAAAAAAAAAATTCTGTTTAAAGTTACTTACAATTAAAACGTTACACAATTTTTGTGTTTATCGTTATCCAGAATTAAAAGTTAAAACGTTACACAATTTTTGCGTTTATCGTTATCCAGAATTAAAAAGTTATTTTACCCAACATTTTCCAACAATCCAGTAAGTAATTTACTACTTAATTTTTTTCAACACCGTTACCAGAAAATTATAATTTATTATTTTA